AACAGGACGTTTATGCATGTCATACTTTTGTTCAAACGCATTCTACAGCTCTTTTTAGTGTGAGCATTGAAAAAAGCTTTCTAAACGCCTGTATTTTGGAACCCAGGCTGGAACGCATCGGGCCTAGCGGTGCACTCGTATGTTTTTGCACCAGATTTGACGTACCCAGGTCGTTAACTGCATGAATGATTGTTGCTTTACACCTACTTTTTGCGTTCACTTGCGTAAATCACCTCAAATTTTGCATAAAAGAAATGAGCACATCCTCTTTGAAAATGACCTGGGTGTTCAGTGAGCAATTTTCCAGTCAGAAATTTTAATTGCCCGTACGCAAGAGCTACGCATACTTGGAGGTTGAGCTGGAATTATAAAAGTTGGATTTTAAAAGAGGACATTTCCCCAAAATTTCCGCTTTCTAGTTTAGCTGGTTCCCGAGGTAGTAATTTTCCCGCCAAAATTTCCACTTGCCTGTACATGATTACCATACCGATCAGGATGGAGGCAGAATTTGAAAACCAAAGTAATGCTTAAACGAGGGATAATGCATACCCTTAAATTTCAGTTTTCCAGGCTGAAACTTCTGGACTACCTGCCGAGTTGGCATCTTTTCCGACAAAACTTTCACGTGCCCGTACGTGAGAACCATGCACACCTAGGAGCTGAATTTGAAATCTTTAGCTTTAGCTCACATATGCACAGAGAGTATCCTTACAAAGTTTAAGCTCTCTATCCTTTCTGGTTTCCGAAATTGCTTCCCCGTCTCCAAATCTATCATACTTCTTTAAAGCATCCATACGCGGCACCCAGGTGACATGGGTGATGAAATTAAAGCGGAAGGATCGCACATGATGTAAGCATATAGTCCCGAAGTTTCAGTCTCCCAGCTTTTCTGATTCTTGAGTTGAATATGGGTAACAGAAAAGCACGAGGGCATAGACACACACTGCCTCTTGCCAGTGTGGATTTTTGCATTTGCATATGTGCAAAAACGCATAAAGAGGGGCAAAACTTTATACCAAGATTATCAAGAACACCTGGGCTAATAATGTTTCTACTAGGATGCCCTCACATTCCAGGCACAGCTACATTAGGCGTTTGAGCCTGACCGTTGCATATTTCCAGTTAGTACCTATCGTATGTGTGCCCGCTTTTCGGGCCGTCCGAGTGGTCGTTTATTTCCTCGTGAATGCCATGCAGTATGGCCACAGCTATAAGCAGGACGACCAGCGTGCCTTGCCCATAATTTACAATTAGGCGGATTTATTCGTTTTGAAAAAAACCAAAAAATTTCACTCAATCTAATTGCAGCGTGCGTTGCGGATGACAAATCCGTAATTCACATTGGTCGAATGTTCATCAAGGACGGCGTGAAGCACAAATGTGACGTGAAAGGCGATACAGTCACTTATGAGCAAGGTGATAGCTTCATTGGCAATTATTACTGTAGAAAGTTATAATTCAAGAACAAGAATTATTTTGGTAAAAAATCCATAGATATAGAAAGTTGAATTCTTTGACTTAGCCAAATAGATTGTATTGCGGTTTTATAACTGTATCTGTAAATAAGGAACTTTTCTGTTTTTCCACTCATCAAAATGGAAATCGTAGTGTTCAAGCAAAAAGCTGAAAAAGTCAAAAAAAAAATAGTTTCTCATTATGTGTTTTCTTTTTTTGTGGATTTTTTGCCTTTTCGTTGAAAAGAGAGGAAATCTGAACGTCACTGGCGAGCAGCTAAATCAATTGAAATCATAGGTTACGCAGCACTCATTGCCAATAGTGCTTTTAGAGTTTCCAGATACTCGAAAAATGTATTGCTCTCATAAAATGAAAGAAAATCATTACTGTCTTCAGCGGAATTACTCCTTTTTCCAAGCAATTTGTGGAAAAAAATGTCGGAGTTGGTGAAGGAGCTTTAGCGCATGTGACGTATTTTAGGAGTTATCCTTCTTAAATTAGTGTAAACAATTTAAGAAGGACAACTCCTAAAACTTTTTTTGCTTTGTTTCTTGAAATGATTTGTTTTAACGATTCAGAATCAACATGCTTCGACAATGGAATCCATTATGATGTCGGTGAACATTTCCGAAATGGATCATTTCTTCTCGTTTGCCAAAAAGACGGAATAACAATCGAAGGTTCGAACGTACATAATTTCTAAACTGACACTTGAAATAACTGCTAATTCGTATTCGCAGCGTTCTCCAATGGCGCAGTTGGCAGCTACACTACCCAACTTTTTTCAAACGCGCACTATAGGTAATTTGTAGTTTGGTTCTCTAGCTATGCAACAGAAAAATTTTCTAGCTGCTTTGACAAGTGCTGAGTACCTTGATAGTCAACCCGATAGCAATTCTTACGTTCTTTTCGTCTACTAAAGTGATTAGCAGTTCAGTGGTTCGCCCCCTTAAAGCATCAATGCTTAGCAAGACTTTACCGGCCTTGCA